GAAGAGTCCTTTCCAATATATCTCCTGTGGATTACATTCTCTTCATTGTATAAAGAGTGTCAGTTAAAGTCAGTATTAACACCCATGACATTAAATACTGAGTAATCTGGAAAATATTTCTATCAAATGTGGCCACAGGATCCTTTCATTTGTCTATCCCTTCTAGTAAGCAAGATACAAGGGATGTCGTTAGGAAGCGATGGAGAACATGGGGAAGAATCTGAGTTGATGGTAGTCTGAAGCAGAGACAAATGTTGATCCACGTAGACTGGCAATGTTTTATGATGAAGGCTGCAGTGTGTTCAGTATTACTTACTATTGTGTCTGTTAAATGTGTGAAATGTTAATAACAACATTGTATTCATACATAGAAAGTGACATTTACTTAAAATCCAAAATACTGAAGAATGCAGTGCTAGTGAATTCCAAACCTAGCTGATTCTAATATGGGTAGAAATATGTTATTTCAAAAAAATTAAATATGGAATTGGTAGTCATCTAACAGTCTCTTAATACAGTAGTTGACTATACAGTCAGTAAGCAGAGCAAATCAAATTGGAGACCCACATTTGACTTAAAGGGCCCCAGAATTTCTTCATTCACCATGTTGCCATAAACTGCCATAGGGGCTATGATTTGTGCACTGTTTACAGTGCACCTTCCACTAATATTAACCATATAATAGGATTGAGTAAAAGAAATCTGAAAATATAATAGTGACCGACATAAATAATATCTTCAAACTCATTCAATTCTGAAGGGTCTTGACAACGGTTGTTTCCACTTAGAATTATTTGTTGTCAGAACTTTTTCCATCATCTATTTTTAAAATTCATGACGTTTCGGAGGCTGGTTCTGTCTCCGTCTTCAGGCGAGAGGTACCTACTCTGTTGGGTCCCTTAGAAAGAGCTAGTCTCTGTCACTGGACAATATAATTCGTGCAGTTATTTCAACTTATCCACCCAAGTATGGGTTCTGTCAGTGGATTATAATACTTAAATGATAAAATAAAAATTATAAGACCACAGTGAATTTTAAGAACAGATGATGGAAAAAGTCCTGAAAACAAATAATTTTAACTTCAAACTCATTGTTCTTTTTCCTATTTGTCTTATCCAATTACATTTGTCTTTACAGATTTCTCTGAGTGAACACCATCTTTCACATGGTGAGGGGCATCCATATGACTGTGATGTGTGCAATAAGTCATTCAGTCGAAGAAGTGACCTGAAGATTCATCAGCGCATACACAGTGGGGAGCGTCCATATGGCTGTGATGTGTGCAATAAATCATTCAGGCACAATAGTAGTCTGAAGAGACACAAGCACCTACACAGAGGGGAGCGCCCATATGGCTGGGATGTGTGCAATAAATCATTCAGTCGAAGAAGCCACCTGCAGATTCATCAACACATACACAGTGGGGAGCGTCCATATGGCTGTGATGTGTGCAATAAATCATTCAGGCACAATAGTAGTCTGAAGAGACACAAGCACCTACACAGAGGGGAGCGCCCATATGGCTGTGATGTGTGCAATAAATCATTCAGTCGAAGAAGCAACCTGCAGATTCATCAACGCATACATAGTGGGGAGTGCCCATATGGCTGTGATGTGTGCAATAAGTCATTCAGTCGAAGAAGTGACCTGAAGATTCATCTACGTATACACAGTGGGGAGCGCTCATATATCTGTGATGAGTGCAATAAGTCATTCAGTCGAAGAAGTGACCTGAAGATTCATCTACGTTTTCACATGGTGAGGGGCATCCATATGATTGTGATGTGTGTTATAAGTCATTCCGTCGAAGAAGTGACCTGAAGATTCATCAGCGCATACACACTGGGGAGCGCTCGTATATCTGTGACGAGTGTAATAAGTCATTCAGTCGAAGCAGCCACCTGAAGAGACATAAGCTCGTACACAGTGGGGAGCGTCCATATGGCTGTAATGTGTGCAATAAGTCATTCAGTGAAAGAAGCCATCTGCAGATTCATCAACGCATACACAGTGGGGAGCGTCCATATGGCTGTAATGTGTGCAATAAATCATTTACTCAGAAAACTAATCTGAAGGTGCACCAGCGGATTCATAGAGGGGAGCGTTGATATGCCTGTGATTTGCGTAAAATGTTGTTCATTATGAGTAGTCAACTGAAGAGACATCAAATATTTTTTGTGGATTGAATGTGGATTAAGACAAGCCCTAAATGCAAACACCTTTAAGGATGTGAATGCAGCATACCTTTGTTATATATGGAAAAATATTTGTAATCTTCATTTATATAAATGGTTATTATGTATTATTCAGTCATATTTTTTATGGGTCATTGTTGTATAATACTAGCATTCGCTTTGATTACAGCTCAAACCCATCTTTTCAATTGGTTGACAGCTGATCAGATATCTTGTGATACTAGAGGTCAAACTTAAAGTTAGCTCTAGAAAAAGGAATTTAAAAATGTGTGGCATCTCATATCTGAAGGTTAGTCAGTCAGACATTGACCTGTCAAATAGAGAGGTTTGAGCCTGAATCCAACACATCCTGTTCCTAATCACCGTTATTTCTGATTAAATGTGATCAAATGACAAAATAAATACTTCCAGCATTCAAGGCAGAAAATATTCTTTAGTATGATGAATCAACCAGATTAACTAAATATTTTGTTCACTCACATAAGCATAACATACCTTGAAACCAGTTTTTGCAAAATTGGGCATTGGTCATAAAATATGTATACTTTTTTCTGCAACTTCTGTTCAAAATGCATTTCACTCATGTGAATAACAGGAAGTTATGTTCGAGATGCATGATGGACTTCAATGAAACCATCCCTCGTAGTACAATTTTAACAGTTCTTGGGGTGTGTTGACAAAGTTTAGTAAAACTCCCAAATACCAAATTTAATAAAAAGCTATTGAGCAATTCTTAGGTAGTTACATGCTGGAACATGGGAGAGCTAACAGGCATATGTATGTCACTTTCTGTTGAGAATGCACCAAAGACTGTTTAAAAAGCGTGAAAGTTATGCAACGAAATGCAGTATGTAAAATTTCATGTGACAATTAGCTATAACATAAATAATACAGAAATTAAACATTCTTTTGTGCCCTGCAAAGTATCATGATAATGATGACACAAAGCTTGCATAATGAGCTTCATAATTTTGCTCTTCACCAAATATTATAAGGATGATGAAGAATGAGATGGGCAAGGCATATAGCAAGCACAGAGATAGTAGGATATTATTAAATTAGACTTATTTGAATTCACTTGGCTCAACACCGACCAGTAGCTGGCTCTTCAAAACATGGTAACAAGCCTTTTGTGTCTATAAAATGCCAGAAATTTGATTACTTGTGCAACTGTAAACGATAAGGACTGGGTTCCAGACAGTTAGCTTCATGACAAATCACTTAAGGTTATGTTTGACAACTTTTGAGGAATTTGAAGCTCATAAAAATCAAATCACTTAATAAATTCAGAACACATACGACTGCCACAACTAAATGGTTAGCACTACTACATATTCAGGAGATCTTGGGTTAAAATCTTGGCTCAGACACTGAATAGCCTGTGTTGTGGTTTACTTCAGTCCCTTCAGGCAAATGTTAGGACAGTACATTAAACTAGGTCATGACGTCCTTCCATAACCCCTTCAGTTCATTAATTATCCTAAAATTTGATGCTTTTTGGTCTCAGCTATTGACAGTGCCAAACAAAACATAAGCAAATAGATAAAAAAATGTATCTGTGGTCTCTCGACAGAAACATTATAAGTTCTTACCAGATCTTTTTTGTACTTTACCAGTATATCCGGCTATAGGGCCCAAACTTATTCTTCTTCCAGCAGATGATAACAGCAACCAAGATTGCACAAGCAGCTGAACTCCTCCTTACTGGTAAATATCCGACAACAGTCAGCAGCGAGGTCTCCGCAGGTATGAAAGTCCAGCAAGGGCCATGTGGGTGAAAGTGTTCTTTAACTAAGTTGCAGAGGTTTCTCTGTTGTGGTACAAATGCTGTCACCTGTTTGTTTAAAGTCTTGCTTTGTGACTGGGGTGCTTTGTGACTGGGGCTTAGAAGTGGTAGCACTTTCAGCAGTGTTACATCCACCGCCCTCCGACATCTTCGTACTATTCTGAGACTTCCCGCGTTTCCCCCTCCGTGGTTGAGAATTACCTTGCAAACAGAAGTTTTGGACTGAGTTCAACTGTCTCAGGTACAGAAGAGTGACGGGCTCTTTTGAAAACGGTGCTCAACGTTCGGGGTTCCATAAAGATCGTGGAATATGCAGATCATATGAACTACCATCAGGTTCTCAAGAAGCTATACTCAACAGAAAAAGTCTCTGCAGGAGCTGACTAAACTGAAAGACAGTTTGTGAGTCATGGCTTTCAGTTTCCAGTCACACGCTGAGAACCTGCTACCCGAAATGCCATATCCACTTCATTACTCACTCACCAACACGTCGTTCGACACTCATCAACCGAGCCACTAGGAGCAGTATAGTTAAATAAATAGCACACACAAAGGACCGTGAAATAAACAAAAGAATGGCCTTAAGCGTATCCTGAGAGGTCTGTAGTAAATGTGCACATGAATCCGTAGGTTTCCTGCTTGGAATTCAAATTTCGCTGGTTTACAGTCCAGCACCCACCACGGCCTTTTCCACTGTCGCAATGCCTTCAAATTGCCACTGCTCTAGTAGAAGAAACAAAAACGAGCCGTAATAAGAAGGCTCATAACCACGTTCACCAATGGACCACATCCTGAGTCAGATGAATCCACACTCAAACCTCCCACCTTGCTTCATTAAGATCCATCTACATCTAGATCTTCAAAGTGGTCTCTTCCTTTCAGGTTTCCTAACAAACTTTGTTGTAACAGCATAAACCAAATACAAAAAGAACAGACGAACAGGTCCTACTTTCCAGCATGGAATACTTTTAGAACAGGTTCTTTGTGATTCTGAACTGGTCTTAGCATTCTTTTAATGAAAGTGCAACTGCGTTACTGTAGATGTTACATCACTCCTACAAAGATACTAACACAGCAAATATCGCACACAATGTCTTTTCAACTTCCTTAATTACCTATTTTCTCCTGCCAACAACAGCAAACGACGTCATATTTCAGGTTCTCAGAGTAGCAAGTATCAGACGACCATCTTCATGAATGTCACGTCATGTAGTCTGGAAAGAGGCTACAAGAATTTCACATTTGTTTGCTGCCTCTATCTTCAGGGCAGAGGCAGCAATCATCGACAAACTTCTACCAGACCACACGGCATAATATGTTTAACAAAAAATAATATTTGCGTTCAGCTGTCAGATAACTTGAGTTCCTCCATAGAGGACATGGACCCAAAATGACATACTATAAATAAAAATCAGTTTAACACATTAACTCTAACCTCTGAATGTACAACTACATGCTTTATGTACTCTCTGGAGTATGAAGAAATGTCTGTCTTCGTATGGGCATTCTTTAAAAATACACAAACAATACAAAATTCCCAGGGTTATTTTAAGCCAAGGGTAAAATTACGCACTTACATTTTTCTCGTAAACTGGTAATACCTTTGTGTTAACCAATAAAGATTACACAGCAAGTAATTATTTCAAGATTAACACCATATTATGCACAGAGTAGCTTAACAGAAACAGAGCAATATAACTCAATAAAAGAAGCACTGTCCTATTAATAACAAAGTAAAAACCAGTGGCGGCTCGTGAGTCTGAGCAGCAGTAGTGCTGCGCAAAGCGGAAAAATCAGAATAGTTTTTCAACACATAACGATATAAATAAACGAAAAGTAAATTTACATCAGGAGAAAACTCGACGATCTTTTAACTATTTGTAAGTCCCAAAGAGGGTGGCCATGATATTTTATATCACTTTTTTCAGTCAAAGACAATTTAGAAAAAGTAATTTCCAGTAACTACGATACACTTCCTTTGCTCATTATCAGAACAAAAAATAGTCAGCGAAAAGAAGTATTGAACACTCATTAACAATAACCACGAAACAGATTATGTAAAAGAAACCAGTCTAAGACACGTGGTACGAGGCAAGCGTGTTTACTATAGGCCGGCTGCGGGGACTGCAGATCTGATTCGTGCTGTAACAGTGAACTGCCCCTCACTATACCCCACACTGCGCTCACAACTATAGGGGGTGCTGCAGCACTTATGGACAGGCCTCTGCTGGTAACAACACATTCAAGTGATCAAGTTCAAAGTGTAGTAAAAGTTAACACCTTCATAATAATGTCTGAAAGCACTAACTTTAGCAGTGTCAAATAAACATATTGACTGACAATGTTAATTACTCTGTGCTATTAATTCTGTGTACCAAGTTCAAACACAAACCTTGTACATCATTTAAACCAAAGTTGGCTGGGG